GGTCTCAGTGTCCATCTGGAGGCTCTATCATCCCCGGTCCGTGTCCGTCCTGGGCTGTTCCCGGGGCTCCTCCGCGTTCCCCAGCACCCAGAGCTGCCCTGCGGTCGGTAAAAGGCGAAACACGGGCTCCTCTCTTTGGTACAGGGCTAAACGAAACGTGCTGGTGGCACATTTAAACTTCTGAGTGTACAGGAGCGCACCCTGGCACRGCGTGCGGCAGCGGCTTGGTGGGGATTGCTGGAAAAGTTCAGGTTTCCTGAATGGCAAACCAGGTAAAATCTTTAATCAAGCACTTTGAATACATGCAGCCCCTGCAGTGAACAATCTGGAGGATGAGCTCACCTGATGAGCAGTAGCAGTTCAGAGAATTCATCCCCTGCTGGGGTTTGGGCACTGCTGTGCCCCAGGGTTGTCCTGCTTGCCACGTCTGGGATTATAAACTCATTATAGCATGTGCCTTTCACTTTTAATGTTTCTAGCTTCTTCAATACATTGAGAAGTGTTCTGAAAACTAAGTGAAACAACTACTGTTTCCTCCTGTTCTTCAGGAGCTTTATTTACGGCCCTGACAGCTTTATGTGTGGTTGAAGGAGGAACATTTTTCAGTTCATAGCCTTCTCATCTACTGAGGGTGCAAAACTAGTGGTACTCCATAATAAATCATTCAGTGTGACCATTATATTTTCATTTCAGGTTTATGCTAAGACATGGTAACTGACTTTGATGAAAAACATGACGAATATTTAATATCCCTTCAGCAGAGAAACCGGTAAGGTACACATTTGTTACCACATTGGGTATGAAATATCTGTTGTGTTGTATCAAATATCAGCAGCTGTGATRCAAAATCTGATTTGCTATGCTTTAAAGCATTTGGGTGCTTCTGTCTTCTTCTCTTTGTTTCCTAAAAGTTCTTGTTTTTAGAGGAGGTCACATTGTTTCTTCAGCATTTAAAATAGAAATACATTTATTAATAAAAGAGTTATTTTTTTCCATGGCTGACAGGGAAGATTTTTGTTTCTGGAGCAAGAGCTTGTAGATTCAGAAGGAACTGGCAACTTATACTATGTGAGGGTSTAGTTATAATACACAGTTTTTATGTTGTCAGAAATACAGAAAAGTGGGAAATAAGGGCATCCAGGTTGCCTTTGCAAACTCCAGTGTCTTTCAGACAAGTTTCAAACATTTYTTTTCCTCTTTGTTCATGTGCTCCTGTCTCTATAGCCACTATACAAAGATGAACTTTGTAGGTTAATTCAAAGGAGTCTACAGGACTTTCTTGCTGAATTCCCTCCTGTACCAGAAGTTTTCTAATGAAATTCTATAACAAACTGGTTTGGTGAAAAGACAAAAAAGACCTTGAAGGCCACACTTAWGTTAAGAGGCCGGGCAATTTTTGTAACCACAGGTTTCTTTTCTATATCATTTCCTAAGGTGGTTTGAGAAAAGGATAAAATCAATTTATTTAGTGGTTAAACCAATTTGCAGCCTTAGTGTGAGAGCTCTGATTCTGGCTGCTGGGGCCATGCTCCTGGGAAAAGGTGGCTTGTGTCACAACGTAGACACCCTTGGGGGACTTTGGCCTGTGGATTGACTCATCCTGGAGCCAGAGAGAAATTTGGTGGAGCAGGGACAGGCACAAATTGTCACCTCCAGGATGCCAATCTCTTGGCCTGCATGTCACCTCACCAAAGGAATGAGCATGGACCAGGTATAACCCGTGGTGAAAGGAGAGAAAATGAGACTTGGAAGAAGAAGAGCAGCTGTTTCACTGAACCCATGGAAGGGCATTTAAAAATATCATTTTAACCAGCCTTTCATTTTCTRGTATCTCTAACTGCACTGTTGGCTGGGGGCTTTCCACCTTCAGTTTCAAAACACAAATAATCTGTTTTGAAAAGAGGTCAACAATTTTTAAGCTTCTTGAAATTCTAAGTGAAACTCTTAAAAATTCTTATGGAGAAAGGTTGAATGTGCAACATACYAAATGGAAAAAATAATGTGAAATAAGAAATAAAGTAGGAAGAAATCTCAGAAAGAAAAAGCTCTGTCAAACTTCCTCTGTCACAGTGTGTGGGTGCTCATACACAGAACAGGAACAGACTCTGGAAGATGTATTCTGATAGGGTCACTTGAACTGTGAACATAATTTTCAGCTTTGTGACGCGGTGTGTTGCTGTATTTATTGGTGATCTGACCATCTGTGTATGCCCTGTGCAAGGATGAATTATTGTCCTCTCTCCTTCAGGCTGCAGGAGCGGTTAAAACGAAAAGATCCCATGCAAATCAAACTGGAACAGTTGGAAAAAGGATTTTCTTTGTATGTGAATGGAGCTAACTCAGAGCTGAGAAAATACCGCAGGAAAATCACCCCCCACAGCTTCCTGAGAAACAGGGCAAAGCCCACCAGGACAAAGGGTGAGTGCCAGGGGAGCCTGGCAGAGGGTCTGCAGCTCTTTGGAACATGTGCTCACCAGAGCTGTAACTCACTGAGCTCACTGGGCAGGCTGTGGAACTGGGACAGCACYACTGGAGCTTGGTGGGATGAAATTCCATGGAAATCTGAGTGCTTCAGCTGATTGTGTGTGAGGAATGGTCTCTGCAACACCCTAACCATTTTTCACTTGATCCCTGATTAATTCCAACATTTAACTTCCCTGCATCTTCATTTGTTAAACAGCTCCAACTAAAAGTAGATTAGAAATGTATATAAATTGTCAGTGGAAAATAATGGTGTACCTTTGACACATAACATCATTAAGAGGATTTAAGATCTGATGGACTTCAGTGTGATCCAAGTCTGGTGTCCTGAGGACAAATGACATTTGATGACATAGACTGTAATCAAATTATATCCAGTAATAGCTTCATTAAGCTCATAAATTATGTTTAAGCTGTAATAGTTGTCTTATAAAGACAGCTAATCTTTATTTAAATATTTGAAGTAAAGAAAATCGACCATTTTTYCCCAGTGATTAGCTGGCTTTATGTAAAAATGGGTATTTTGTTTCTAATTTAAGTCTGTCTATCATCCAGAGCAGTGCAGTGACAGGAATAATTTTGCATGCATGAAAGTATAAACTATGAGCTTACTGGCCTCCTAATCTATTTAGCATAATGAAAAGAAAGTTGATTTTACTAAATCCCTGTGTAAAGCAATTTACCAGCCTTAGTAAGTTATGTTCAYGCTTGCTACAACCTGTCTGTCTCAGAGTGTGCTTTCTAATGTGTGATAGCCTGCTTAAGCTTAATTTTCAATAAAAATGAAGACAAAGAGTTAAAAAAGTTACCTGGTATGATAATGTGTTGATTGAAGATTTAATAATCTCAACGATACTGGAAACTAACTCTTCCTTCAGTAATGTTTCCAACCATGGCTCTAACTTAACCATTTTCCAACCATTTTCTAAATTAATCTCTTTTTGATTTGTTTTCCTCCTACCCTGGGCACGCACTACTTGTTTTCAGGCTGATGTGTGTTCAGCTTACCTGTCTGYTGTAGGATTTCCTGCAGCTTGTATGGGATGGTGATGAGGAATCAGCTTGTCACCCGATTTCACTGTTCCATATGAAAGTGAAACGTTGTGTGTAATGATGCACAAATGYTCCTTTTCTTGGATACTGGGAAATGGTGGAAATTGTGTGCTCTGTCACACGGGGCTGGTGCACTTTCAGGTAGCTAAAGAGGGTGTAAATCAACACCTTGGACTTTGTGCTCCAAAAATTGTGAAGGGATATTGTGGCAGCAGCTGTAATGGAACTCTTGTCAAGAGAAATTTCTTCTTAAAATTCTGCTGTGCAGTTGTTATGTGTAAGCTTAACTAAAATTCTTTATTTTTATGGTCTCTTAATGCCATTTGGTTCAGCTAAGGTAGACTACATGTTTTAGGGACCTCAAAAGGCTTCAGTTGCAGTCTCTGTTCCTTTCCTCAACTCCATYAATTGGAGACTGTAGCACCACTTCTGCAGAAGATAACTCAGTGTTTTGCTGTTTCTTAACTCCCCAGTGGTGTTGTTTTAACTCATGCACCTGCAGTGAAAGACACCAGCTGAGCCACCATCCTGTCATTTTTCCTCTTCCATTTGGTTTTGCCCCTGGAATCCAGAATGGGAGTCACTGCTGGTCTGTATGAGCTTCTTGCCTGTGGGTTCTACCTKAGCAATTTTGTTTTCTCTTTCGTTTCTAGGCCTTTCTTCTCAATGATTGAATATGATTTTACTTACAGAAATGATTCCTAGCTGAGATACAGCACYGAGTTTTCTTCCCTATCCATCTCCCCTGAGAGTTATTGCATCATTTATTACTTCTAAAGCATCCATCTATAGGATTAGTCTTCACTGAAAAATTAGGAATGTGTGGTACTCAATAATCCAGAACGGGCATAAATCCCTCTTCCTGGTTCCTGAAAGTGTCATCATAAATCTATTTGTCAGGACTGTTTTCTTTGTCTGTGTTCCCTAGGAGTAATCACTGATAATAGTGATGGATAAACTTTTTGTGCTTARGGTTGGTAATGAATTAAAGTAAATGATGGGTTGTGGGTAGTGTAGCTGGGCTCTAGGTGTGCTGTCATTTCTTTGGCTCTGTAACCCACACACAGTTTCACAGCCATGTTGTTCCAGTGAATGTCTGTGTGGTCACAAATGTGTGGCTTGAGGGTGGTGTGGGGTCTCCTTGGATCAGGACTGATATTTTGAAGATGTTCTGCTCAGTCCTTGGCTACTCAGGTAGGYCCTGTCAGCCCAAGCCTCCAAGGGAATGACACCAATAGACCTGTTCTGTGTGCCCACACAGGTACTGGTTGGGATTCACATCCCATCCATCCCATGGGAAGGACACTTGTTCCAAAGCTGTGTTTGTTGCACAGATGACTCTTTCAGCTGCATCAGCCTCCACCTGGGATCTGAGTTACTGCTTTTTCCTGGATTATAGAGACCTGGTCACATGAATCCATCACTAAGTAGAGTCGTGGAATCCCAGAATTGGGAGGGACATTAAAGCTCATCTTATTCCAGGGCAGGGACACCTTCCACTATCCCAGGTTGCTCCAAGCTCCATCCAACCTGCCCTTGGAAACTTCCAGGGATAGGGCAGCCACAGCTTCTCTGCAGCCTGTGCCAGGCCCTCATCACCCTCACAGGGAAGATTTTTTTCTGATATCTAATCTAAGGGTACTCTGTCAGTGTGAAGCCATTCCTCCTTGTCCTGGCACCCCATGAAGAGTCTCTTCAGGCACTCAAACAATTCTGAGGATGAAGGACTCAGCAGTGGTGCCATGACTCCTGCCATCTCCCTCTTTCTGCTTACATTTGCAGCACACCTGAGGGGCTCCTGGACAGTTACCTGGAGGAGATGGATTGCTCAGGAGGTGGAAGGGAAAGATGCTCCCAGTTCTGTCCCAAGGCTGTGACTGAATCCAACAAAGCTGCTCACAATGTCAGCTCTGGACAGTTCACCCTCAGTGCCAGAAGAGCCTGTGGCAATCAGCACCAATGCTAATGACTCAGAGTAACTTGGGAATGGCCTTTGGAGTAGCAGGAGCTCTGGTTGGAAAGGCTGTTTCTCTTCCCTGGAGCAGTCCATCCCCTTTCCCCTCTGTGTTTAGTCCTGTTCTGGGCCTGTGAGACAGACACTTTGTRCTGAGGCAATAGAACAACATCCCATTGCTGCTTTGGAATGTTGTGATCACTCCAAATGGACATAAACACACACTGACCAATGGTCCTGCCCTGGGCCTGTTCCCTCCTGTCCGCTTGGACCAGCTTTTGTGCAGGTGAACCAGATTGCACAAGGGCCTATAATTAAAAGGAATTTTTTATGTTTTCCCATGGTTAAAACTTCCCAATCTCAGTTCCCAAACTTCTCTATCAATTCTCTGAACAAGTCACTGCACAGGTAGGTGCATGTAAGGTTGTCCAACCCAAAAAAAAAAGAAGAGAAAATGTGGTATTGAGAGCTGTAATGAGCAAACTGATTTAATTCTGAAATAAGCCCTRTTTTGAGTGGAAAGCTGGACTTGGTGACCCTCAGAGGTTCCTTCCAAATTAAATCTTTCTGTGATTCTATGACCTTTGTAGGACAATTGCTTCTTTTATTGGTAGTGCCAGTTCCTGCAGCCTTGGGGTGACCATTAAATTATGGCTTAAAGAAAAAAGGTTTTGCATCAGCTGTTTTTTTCCACTGAGAAGAAATGGAAGCTGTAAATCTGTCTTGGCCATAGGAAATGAGATGCCTTTATTTAGGATGCTACTGAGAGTGTTGGTGATGCCCTTGTTCCGTTGAAGATGCTGATGTGACCTGAAGTTGTCAGTCTCTTTGTCTCAATCAAAGCATCTTCTCAAAAATCCATTGTTCCACTCTAAGCTGGGGCCACTTCCAGCACAGGGACCCTTAGTTCTCCTTGACCATGCAGAGATATTTTGTAGAAGTTCCTGAAKCAACTCTTCCTTGCCTTAGAAATGAAGGATAACAGCTGTTTSTCCTTCATTTATGGCTTATACGTGAAGAATCCTTCTCTGCATAGCATATTAAAGACCTAAAACATTCTGTTTAATCTTCYAATGCTTTGTGTTTCCTTAATTTTGGGAATAAATACACACAATTCCTTTTTAAACCCCTTATGTTACCTGTTGCTCACCAGAACCCTTYAGTSTGCCTTTKGTAGTTGGGTTCTGGGCTCAGCTGGCTTCCTAAGACAGGTTAYTTTCTACCCAGCTCTGGATCAGAATRATGTKCACCCCTRTTCTAGAATTTATTTCTATATTTKCATATCAAAAAAGGTGAGGCTTCAYCTGCTGTTAGGCTATTGCATCTTAAAAGAATTTATTCTCTTAAAAACACTTGCTGATGACTGTCCCTGAAGAGGCTCAAAACTCCTGTTGCTAGACCTGACCAGGATCTGCCCCAGGATGTCTTTGCAGCTGTTGATTCCATTCACATGTCAGATTTACTCTTCTGTCCTCGCCTGGAGGGAAACAAAAACCCCTAAACCCACAACCTTTATTGTCTAACATAATATTTTTGCTTTCTCTCTCCTGTCTTCTAATTCYTGTGTGTCCCTGCTGAAGAAGCAGTGCAGCTGGAAGAGAGTGGGCTGCAAGAGCACAGCACTCAGACTGCCCCGAGCAAGGTGCGACGCAGGAATTGGCTTCAGGTATGGAGCAGGTGGAAGAAATGGGGCTTTGAAATAATTCTTGGGTTGTAAATAACTTTAGGGGAAATTGGTTGCTGCTGGTACAGAGTGGGCAGCTGGGAGGCTCTTAGAAACTGAGTGGCTTGGTCTGGAWGCTGAGTGACAATGTGAGCTTATATCCTGCTCGGTTTTGTGGYTACTTGGAAGCCTAAAAAGGCAAATCTCATTGAAAGGATTTGATTTCAGTGATGTTCATCACAGAAAGTTTCATAGCCTGGACAGGATTGGCTCAATGTGTCCTCCAGCAGAGTGGCTGCTGCTGGAGATCTCTGATGGCASCCTAGGGAGTTTATGTAGTGCAGAGGATGGAGAAACTCCAGGATGGAGTGACATCCCTGCCTGTAACTGCTGTTCTCTACCCTGCAGGAGGATTGAGGGACAAAGAAATGCAATTTGCATAATTTGAGTTGTAATTTGTGACAAATTCCTGTAGATCATACGAGAGGAAAATGCATATAGATAATAYAAATATCCCATCTGTGTGAAATTTGAAGCCATCAGCTTCATAGTTGTTGGTTCACTGGAGAAACCTCAGAAGATAAACTTGTTTTCTTTTGGCCTAAAGAATTTTCTGAGTTAACCTATCAAGGACTATATTAAAAGAATAAATGTAAATTCAGAAGAATGGAGACATGTCACTCAAATAATTACACTGCTTGGGTAGCCATTGGCCTGACTGGTTGTCCAGTCTGTGCTTGAGTGATGGGCTCAGGGCTCTGTGTCACTGTGGATCRAGTGTTTATGCCATGCAGGTTTTCTTTTCTTTCACAAAATACTGCACRTTCAAGCTTTAGGGCTGCATTGCTTTATTTACCACCTTTACTGCTTAGTTGAATTCATTTTCTCAGCTGCTGTTTCTCCCAGTAGATCTCTGTTTACATTATGACCTGTCAGGATTTCTTTGCTAAATTTGCCAAATGTGTGCCTCTGTACTAAAACCTGGGGCTTGCTTTGGATGGTTCCTTAAGTCTTTTGTCCAGCTGGATGGGAGGATAGCAGTTATCATATCCTGATGAACTATTTAGAATTATTTAGCTAAGGAAAAGTGCAACCACAGACTGAGAAGGAGCAGACAGCAGTTTCCTTTCCCAGTGATTTTCCATGTGGATTTTTTTTTGATAACTGGAGGACCCGGCAATTCCTGGCCATTCCTGTCAACCCTGGGCTGTGCTAAGGGATGCTGTTAGGGGGAAAGATAGACTTWCTGAAAGAATTCACCCATTTTGCCTAAGGATATCCCCTCTGGGACATCTCTGYCCCTGGCCCTTAGGAAATGCTAGAGGAGTGTATGAACAGCAGATAATGAGGTTTAATATCACTGCCCTCTCTGGGCACAGCAGCAGCAGCAGGTGGGGAGTTTGACCAGGACAGTTAAACCAAAATTCAGGGGCCCAAAAGTGTGCTCAGGGAGGGCAGAAACCTCTGGAACAGAGGGGAAAGCAATGCTTGATCATGATATTGGTATATAAAGTGTGATGGTTACTCCTTTTGTGCTGCTGAGAGCACAGGAGAAATGAAAATTTCTTTGAATGCTTCTTTTGACAGAAAACTGTGGCAATTAAAACAGAACAAGGGGATAAACTCTACATCAAACCATCTCTGGTGTACTCTGATGATTTTGAACCATATGAAAGCTTGAATGTGGAGAGCAGCAGTGATGAAGATGATGGTCCTCTCTCCCAGGTACTATTGGCAGTGGCCTTCTGTTGTTTGTGTCATTGAAATGTGAATGGGCTCAGGTATCAGCTTGTGCTGGAGCATCCAAACCCTGTGTGTAGTGCTGTCTTCATTTGGGGATTTTGCTTTGATGAGATGTGACAGAAAAAAGGAAAAGAAAAGAAAAGTAAAGCTTCCTGGAAGATCTAGTCTCAGTCAGCAACACTACAAAATGTTAAACCCTATTTTTAAAGGGTGGAATGTTGTCTCTGTTGGGTTGAATCAAGATGTTTGCTGCAAGGCTTCTCTTTCATTCCACTGAATGATTGTCCACATGAACATCACTCCAGGGTGTCAGGKTAGGGAAAGCTGAAACAACAGCTTTTTCTGCCTTTTGGTTAGTCTTTAGATAATCATACTAAAATTGTTGCATGTCATTGTTCTACCTAACAAAAATCAGACTAAAGSTTTGAAAGTATTATAATCAATATGGTTGCTTTCCATCAAGGATTGTTATTATATTGACTGTGCAGCCTTCCATTTGATCACTAATTGCAGTTTGTTCTAGCACACTTCACAAATGGGAAAGAAAACAAATAAATGAACAAAGGTTTATGAATGATTTTCTGCCTAACCAATTAATGGCATAAATAAAACTTTTCTGGGTAATGGAGTAGCATCTGTATATGAAACTGTTTACCACATATCAGACAAAATTCCCAAGCATATTTTCCTTGCTTGCATCTTTCTCTCGTTCCTGTATTGCTCTTGAACTAATGATTATTTTTTACTCTACAAACTGGTAACTTGTTTACACCGATGGATATTTATATCTTTTATGTGTTTTTAAAGTAAGCTAATAATTTCCAAACAACCCCCCGCTTTTCTTTTGATTCAAGATGGAAATACTTTTGATTTTGCTGAGGCTATAATGTGTTTTTTTGAATGTCTTGTTACAATGCAGATGCAAAGGTTTCAAAGGAAAAGAAAGCTTATACAATTTCCTGTCAAAGAGCTGGAAATATTAGTTTTGACTGTCAGAAAGACATGCTCAATATCAAGGCTCAGAGTGCTTATAAACCCTTTTTTGAACCTGACTTTGCCTGCTCTTTGTAATATATTTCTGTCAACATGGATTTCCTAACAAGTGTAATCTGTAGCAGCTTGAAGCTTTCATTGCAAACTGAATATACACTGTCACAGTTCATTTGTACCTAAGGTGGCTTCAGGTTTTCATTTCKCACAGTTTGCTTACCTATATTTATCTCAAAACTCTAAAACCAACAAAGCAGKGGGGTAAAAAAAGCATTTAAGAGATGCAAGGTTTTTTCCTTTTGCATTCAGAAAAGCACACAGCTCTCCAGCATCATCTGGGCTGTTTGTGGTGTATGGTGAGAGAGACAGGGCACTTTTTTCCACAGTAAATTTCAAAAGAGGTTATTTTTTGCATAAAATCCTGTTATAGTGTGTCCACTTCAAAAAACTGTGCAAACTGGGAGCTTAGCCCATTAGACCACAACATTTTGCTACTGGTTTTGGAAGTACAGATGTGTACAAGGCAGGACTGTTATCAYCTATCAAGTGCTTAAAAAGCAGTTGCTGCTACATGAGCTCGACAGTCTTGTRAAGGCATTTGGAAATTCTCGATTGCAGCTACTCTTCAAATAGCAAGGCAYAGCTGTGAGCTGCACAAATGTGTGCCTTTGCTCTCCCCCTTACATTCTTTTTGTAACTTATTCCTAAAAATTGATTTTGCACATAAAAACTCCTTGGCCTACAGAATGTTCCTGCTGGGTACTGATGAGAAGGAGCACAGGAGTTGTAGGATGATTTTCCTTTACAAGCCCTCATCAAAGGAGCTTGACACAAGAATGTGAATATTTTTAGCTGCATCACGGCTCTGAGCTCATGAGAAGATTTTTCTTTCTCCTGGGGWGGAAGAAGCAGCCACTCTGGTTTATTTTAAAATACRAGTTGGAACTTTTCTGACAGATGTGTTTGTATTGTAGCAGGAAYTGAGGAGCAGCTTGCAGCGCTGTGTGGAAGAGGAGAGGATGGAAGAAGACTCCCTTAGTGATGATTATGACTCTGTTGAGGAGGATGTGTTTTCAGAGCCATCTCCCACTGAGGAAGCAATTACAGGCTTTGAAGGCCTTCAGCTGGATAGCAGTGGGGCACTGCAGAAAGAARCTTCTGAGCATGGGGATGCTGGGAGATGCTCTGCCCTTGATTCCGGTGCCCTGACGGTGCTGGAGTCCAACCAGGATCAAAGCAGTAAGTCTGTGTCTTCCTGTCGTGGTTTGAATGAATTTAATGGGAGCAAAACACTCCCAGGTTCCAGCAAACCTCCCCCCCTCTCTTTTCCCCACCCGGGTCCTAGAGACAAACTTTTCCACAGAAAGGAAAGTGAAAAGAAAAGGGAAAAAAATCCCTATTTATTTAAAATTATAAAAATAAACAAAAAAAAACACCCCAAAACCTGTGGAACCAGCTGTTAGATCTTAAAGCCTTTCTCTTCCCTCCTGGGACTAGCTTCCCCTCCGGGGCTCCCAGAGGGGTGCTCAGAGTCTCTCCGGTGGTTCACTGAAGGATCTTTCTCGCCTGTGGTGCCACGACAATCCTCCAATTCTCAGATGATGAAGGAAAAAATTCGAGGAAAAAAACAAGTCCAAAGAAAGGGAGAAAAAAAAAAGGAGCAGTCCCAAAGAGAGCAGGCAGCTTCTTTTCCACCGCTGATCCCGAGAGCCTCCCAGGAGAAAAAAAAAACGTGTGTGTCTTGTCCCTTTCCCTCCCATTGTCCTTGAAGGGAGGAACATCACCAAACAAACCAGAGCAGTCTCGACTAATGTATAGTTACAGAAGGGTTGTTTAACTTTCCTCTAACATAGGCAGATGATAGGAATACAATACTCAGCTCACCTAGGACATTTCCACACCACTGCAGTGCTGCAGTGATCATGCTTGGAGGGAATGACTTTGAAGGGAGTGATCTTTAGGGGTTACTCCATACTCTCCCCAGTTCTCATACTCTTCAGCAAACCTGTTGCTTTCATCTCCTGATTTGGGAGATTTGCATTTTCTTACTACTTCATGGAGAATTTTTTTTGCAAAGCCAAAGATACAGCTCTGGTTAATGCACCTGCAACCACCAGGTCTAGACACTTGAACTAAGATTGTCTCAGACTTTCTGGGAGATTTCTCAAGAAATAATTATGTTTTAAATATATTTTTGAACCATTTCTGCAGTAATTCAGGCAGCCAGATCTTCCCATTCTCAACTTCATTTGCCATCCTGGGTCAAAGTCACAGTGCTATTGTCACAGTGTGCTATTCCTCCCTGGTGGATGATATGAGCCACTTTTTTTTTGTCTCTTTTTGTATCCTTTGGAGACCTCAGTGTCCAAACCCACAGCCAGCCATTAGGTCTCAAAGATGGTTTTCACAAAAAGTAGAGAGTTCAGGCAGAAACCAGACCTAGACCTACATTTGGTATTTCTCAAACTTCCCTCCCCACTAATTTCAGGTACAATAATTGGTTTGGGGGTTTTGGGTTTGTTTATTTTGCTGCTTCTTTTTTTTTTTTTTTTTTTTTCCTAATCCATAGTTAATTGCATAAATTAAGAGGAAAAATCTTTGAATAAATTGAGTAGAGGAGTGTTCCACTCATTATCATAGACGTGAGTGGAGTGTGGATGGGAAGAGGGGCAGAAGAAGAGACAGGAACAAGGGATAGAACTGCAGTGAGAACAAAATCTCTGGCAGAGTACATGATTTTTTGTCCAGAGAGAAATTTCAAAGCTGTGAATTAAATAATAGGAGCAATAATAAGTCTCAAATCAAAAAGTGAGAAAGCTCTCATATGAACTACACTGGACARCCCTCTCTCCCCTTGAAACTTCTAAACAAGGCATTTGAGTCTGTATTTTAAGAATTTATTTTGGTATTGCTGTATTAACAAATGACTCAGGACTTTTTGTTTCTTCTTTTCTTGACAGTAACGCAGGTAAATCTCTGGCAGAGATGAGATATATTGGTACATTACAGTACTATTTTAATTTTGTTTCACTGAGTTAGTGCCAGCCATGCATATGTGCTTCTGCATCAATAGAACAGTGTCAGTTAAAGGGAGGGAAATTATCACTTTAACTATGCTAACATAATTAAAATAGCAAAACTTTTGGAGTTAAAATGCAATAATTTTTCCCAGGCTGCCTGCTCCCACGTAACTTGTAAGTTTATTATTTCTGTTTCCTTTTTATCTTGCAGAAGTGAAGCCAGTGAAAGTTCTCTCAGCCAAAAGAAAGGACAGTGCTGAGGTGTACATTCCTGTCAAACCAGTCGTGCTGAAAAATAAAGTCACTCGRCCCCTCTCTGCTGAGTTCTTGCATCAGGACAGACATGAAAAAAWTTGTTCTAGTAAGAAATAAGAATATATGATGTCAATAAGAAGAGTTCTCGTGCTTTTCCCCCCTCTGGCTCAGATGCAATTTCAGCACAGATTTGTCATTATGGGATCTTTTTGGCTGTCACTCCCCTGCTGCCTTTTTTTTTTTTTTTTAAAGTGGCATTTTTCTGCCTTTTTTTTTGTTGTTGTTTTTAACACCTCGAGTATTTTGACTTCAGTGAAATTGTGATAAAGTATAAAAGCCTGTATACTTTAATTTTCTGTCACATCTTTACTATCCTTTRCTATCTTCCTTCTCTTTTTGCTTGCACAGCACAAGATTTTCCCTCTCTCTTTCAGTCCTTGCTCAGTACTTGCTCTGTGTTTCCCAGTTCCCCCACGGAGATTCTAACCCCTGTGGTATTAATGGAAATGTGTCTTCTCCCAATCAGCAGTTGATGTTTGATGGAAGAGTTTAACACAACACATTTGGAGCAATAAAAAATGCAGAATTCTCTACCACAATAAAGGCACAGTTTCCCCAGCACCACAAAAGAGCTCTGTGACTGCTTGGAGCTGTACTTGGATTCCTCCTGGAGCCCTGAGATCAGTCTGCAGTGCTGGATAGATATGCCAGAATTTAGGACCATACTGGAAAATATTTTGGGTTGGAGAATATAATTTGAAGCCACTGCTGYTTATTCTAAAAATCTGCTGCTCAGGTGTGGTCTTTACCTGAGCAAAAACCCCAACAAAACACACCAAACTCCAAATGCAGGGGCTGAAGACATGAGTGCAGTTGTAGTTCCATGCAGTCCTTAACTGAACGAGCCTGAACGACTCGAGTTTTGAAAGGTCTGAGGTGAAATTTTCAGACCTGCAATTCTTTGTGCTCTTTTCAAAGAAGCAGAATCCAGATGTGTCCCAAGAAAGCAGTAAGGCCAGTGGTTTTGAAAAGCCAGAGTATCAGTTTCTGAATTGGCAGAAAACCAAAGAGAGGAAAAGAAGTTAATTCTTTTTGGCTCCAGAATAAATCCCCTTTGTAGCTCCTGAGACCCTCACCCACCATCTGTTGGAGCAGATGTTGCTTTGACTTCTCAGAGATGTGTGCAGCATTTTCTCAGGTTATAACAATGCTGGTTGGAGCTGTTTCTATCCAACTACCATGTTAAATCCTTACATTAATTCATTTCAGGGGGKTGGTACAGTACAGAAGAATAAGCAGGACTTTTTCCTATCCCTGTTTTTGCAGAGATGACTGACGCTTGTTGAAAGTTTTCAWGAGTATATGTGCAAAGAGTGAATTGCACACAAATCTCAGCTCAGTTTTAACTTCTTGTCTTTTCAAAATGGATTTCATGTTACTTGCACTGCGCTCTGCTCCCTGCAGTGCTGTGAGCACCTGGCATTTCAGCCTGTTCAATATTTCCCCTCACTCCAAATATCTATACAGCTTCATTCTCTTCTCTTCTCTTCCCTTGACTTTTAAAGCCCTCAGCTATAACCACTGTGCTTCTCTTTTGATTGTAACCACTGTGCTTCTCTTTTACTCCAATCTCCCATCATCTGTTGTTAAATTTTATTTCCTTTCTTTCAAACCTGTTTATAGGCTGTGGTGTTTCTGTTTCTCCGTGAAGTTTGGGAAGATTGGGATTCGTGTGGGCATTGGGATGACTGCTTAAGTGATAAGGTCATTTATTTTGCCTTGCAAATAGCAACTCCTGACTCCCCTTGTTTTGCTAGAAGACTCTGGGGATTTCTCCAAAATAGCTGAACACCCCAATTAGGTTGCAAATTCCTGCTGTGCTTAAATTATATATACTTCTTTTCAATGGTCTATTACAAGGCATTTCCACTAAATACCRAAACAAAACAATTTAACAGCATAAAAATTACGTTTCTTATTTGTCAGTTTTCCTGTTTTTATGATGCTGTTTTAATGTTGCCTGAAGTAGATGTGACCTGGAATTTTAACATCAAACCAAATTGAGGGAATTCAGCTTCACTTGGGATGGTTATAGACTGCTTGCAAAGCCCTGTGTCAGTGACTGAGTGAGATGTTTCAGCTGTTGGAATGTTCCATACTGGTATGTCCTGAATAAATGAGTATTTCTTCCTCTTTTTTTTCGGTGGCAGAACCCTTAAGTCGACCAGAAACATCCCTTTCAGTCACTAGGAAGAGTGTGTGTGAGAAGGACCCTGACCTCTCTGTTTCAGCTGTGGTTCAAGCAGTGCAGATTGAGAATGAATTCTTGCAGGGAGATCTGCAAAGGCAAACAGTGGCCACAACCCCTCAGAAGGTATGGCAGGAAAAACAGAGCTGTTTGATCAAGTAGCAAAACCCCCATGAATGGTGTATGAATGTGTGGATTGTGTGTGAATGAATGGTGATGCCTCTTAAGTGTAATTTAATTTGTATTATTTTTCCAAAGGGTTGTTTTCTTTAATCTGCTTCCTCAGGATGGCATCCCACAGCTCCCTCTTGATTACAGGGATCACTGAGCAACTGATAGAGCAGCCATCTGATGTGTCTGTACAGTCAAATGCACAGCTGCAGGCCCAGTTGAGCCATTTTCATCCTGGAAGCTTCTGAAACAGGATAATGTGTGATTTCCCTACCAATAAATCCTTCCTTCCTCCAGGAGCCATCAATGTGGGCACTGTTCCCTGTCAGTGCACGCTCTGCTCTTGGAGCAGGGCTGGCCTGTACATGGCTGCATCTCACTCAGGAGGAGCTGCTGAGGGTTTTCTGCCCCAATGTGTGTTCWTCTCGTACCTCCCACAACCATGTTTAAAAACAATTAAAACTCATAAACAAGGAAATAACRAAAATCAGCAAAAAAGTGGAGTACAGTCAGAGAAAGAGCCCGTAGTAAGAACTGCAGCACTTCTCTGTTTTCTCTTAGACAGWCACTGCTGATGGCTTGGCATTTAARAAAGAAAGCATTATTTTATTGTAATAAAATTGAGGGGTTTGGGGATTYAAAAGACTTTATGATCTATTTTTGGAGGAGAAGATGTAGTAGTCCTGTGCCAAAGCTTTGGCCAATACGATATTCCTACCAGATGTATACAATGAGATTGTTTAYACACACACACACAGATACATATGTATATGTATATTTAATAGTCCTCAGAGTATGCTTTTATGTTCTTTCCTTCCACATGGAAGATCAAGCTCCAAGCTCAGCTCTTTCATTACAAATCAAGACCAATTCCATTAAATGTTCTTGAATTTGTGCAGAGTTGCAGATGAGCTGGGCCTAAACTCTTCATTGTTCCAGAGATGCAGATTGCTGCGCACTGGTACGTGAAGAACAATCTGAGTGAAACATGTTCATCTTTTTCTTACTTAGAAGACATTTTGTGTTTCACCTCTTCTTTCTGCAATGACTGAACCTCCAGAAAAACGCCAGACAAGGACTTCAGTCACAAGAGCTGTGGAGAGATTCAGCCCTTTTGGGAGCAGGTATATATATATATCCATATAAATACCCATATATATATTTATATRTRTATTTAATTTAAGCTAACTTCCCTTTTTTGAAGAGAGTTTTTATTAGAATTGTTATACTTGGAAATTTGCAGCTTTCTGAGACACCGTGCAAGTAACAAATCAGGAAATGCAGCCTTGAGCCAGTCTCTGCCAATGTCTCACTTTATTGTCTTCAGTTCACCTCTGTATTCCTTTTTCACAGCTCCTCAGATGCAACTGTGAACTGGAGCCCACTTTTTTAACCAAACTCTGTCTTTTTAAAGTGGAATGCTGCAAAAGTTGTCATTCAGTGTGGGAACACATGGATTTGCCTGTGGGGTTCATCCTATCATCTCTTCACCTTTGCACCGTTCCTTAAAAATGCAGGACTTACAAGGAACTAACACAGAATTTGTTGTTTCAGACAAAAGAAGAGACACCTGAAAGCCTTTGCAGAGCGTGGGAGCCATTCTGCCTGGGACAATGACAGAGCCATTGCTGGTGACAAAGCTGGAGTGGATTCCACGTGCAGAGAGAAGGTTTGTGCATGTTGCACCATCTGGTGCTTCCCAGTATGATTGAAATAAAAGTACATTGAATGAGCTGTGTCCCCCAGGTCTGCCCCACATCAATGAATAAGCCTATGTCAGKGTAAGAAAAGGGAATTTATCATTGTTCATCAGAATGACACAGGAATCAGACAAAGAGTTGCTTTCTCTTTGGCTTTGTAAGAGTTTTGATGTTGTGTGGGCAGAATTGATGGAACCCAAAATGATTATTTTAAAGTTACCCAAATAGCCTTGACTTTGCAATCTTTTTGCTTCTGACTCATCAGTTTTGCAGTCTTAACAATCTGTTTTGTTTCACATTTCATTGGTACGTCACATTTTTACCACATTTCMTTTTGGTTCAGATGACAGCCAGCATGGAAGTGCACGATGCCATTTATGTGACTATGGAGCTTCTTTCMAACTGGGGGGATCCAGCAAGCGTGGGCCTGAGGCAGGTGGAATTCTTTGATTTGCACAACGAGAAGATGTTTGTGTCTCCTCATGACGTGGACATTCGAAATGCTGACAACGCAGGGGATTTGTGCTGCCTGGTCAACAAGAACCTCAATGTAAGACAGCTTAGTCCTCAATGTAAAAATCTCAGTATTTCTCTAATACTCTATCACTGACTACATGACAACTATCTGATAATTAACAAAGCTACAAATACTGTTTATTATTAACAAATCCAGTTTTCCTGTTCAAGATGTTGATATTCAATTATGATTATGTTTTAGAGCAGACTTTGATTAATTTGCTTGAGTTAACTAAGTGATTGGAAGGAGGAAGCTTTAACTCTGCCTTCTCATGTGTTAACTTTGTGACATTGTCTTGGGTAAAAGATGACATTTAGTTTTTTAAGTATTGTGATGTATTTGTAGAAGGAGATCACARAACTTTAAGGACAGTGAATTTCACCTTTGTACAGTATGTCTGCTGATAAACTGAAATAATTCTTGTGGCTCAAAGATACAGGAGCTTCACTGCTAATTTCTTCCAGATGGTTAATACAAATAATACAAATTTAGGTAAATTTATGAAGAAAATGTCCCTGTTTTCTCTTGGTTTTTTTTTTTACCTTGGGGAGAATAATGGGAGAGTAAGAATGTGTAGGTACTTATGAACAAAAGATTAAGAAAAATGTGTGGCAGATAAAAGTCTTTCATGGCTCTGTTGTGAGATAGTAAGATGAGGAGATAGGATGTGCTCCCATACTARTGACAATGGACAAAAGAGAGTGACTGTATGAAAGAATTAACAAATGTCCACAGCCCTTCACACCACCATGGTTTCATTTGTGCTGCACATTCACTCTGTGTCATTTGTCTTCATGGGCCTTCAGAGCAAGGATTCTAGTAAAAAAATCAGTATGATTTTAGTGGATAAGCATGCTAAAGGACTTAGTCTATTAAAAACATAAATTACAATTCATTTCATGCTAATGATACTTTCCTGCTTGCAAGGTAAATGAGACYTGAAAGAGGACAGAAATGCCGTATTTTGAAATTGCATTGAAACTCCTCATGGAGCATTATTTTCAGACAAATATTTTTAGTTGAAACACCTTTCTTACTGTCTCCTGAAAATTGGAATTTGGATCTCATAAATACCCATTCTCCTTGATAGGCTGGGCTGTGTGGCAGGTGACATTCAGTAGCAGCAGTAGTTAGTAGTAGTGGTTGTAGTTGCAGTAATTGTAGCAGTGACTCTCAGGCTCTCCAGATATTTATAAATTATGTAGTAATACATTCATTAAGCCATTATGAACCTGTTAGTTTCAGTATTACTCATACATTTATATATCCCATTATTATTAAGTAATGAGCTTTCATATTTCATTGATTAATATATTCCCTTGATTTGTCACTCTGTAATCTCCTCTCTTGAGGCTGCATCCAAGATGGAATCTGGGCAGGGAGTGTGCTCTGAGACTGTGGGAATGTAGTGCCTGAACTGCAGATTCCTTCAGAAGGCAGAGCAGCATTTCCAGTTTGTGTGCATTTCAGATCACACAGGACAGTTTTAGGGTGCATTTAAAAACCAATAAATTAATCAATCCYCAAGCAATGAATATTTTCAACAGAATGAAAACTTGACATAAAAACTTATTGTGTGGAAAACTCATTTTCCCATGGTTAAAATACTTCCATCTTTGATCATTTAGATGTACTTTTGTCTTTGAGAACACTCTTATTAAAGATCAGGGATTTGATTTTATCAGTTTATTTATTACCCTTTCGGACTTTTAAGAACAGCACTTAAACTGCCTCCTTCCTTGTACTTTGTGATATAGTGTAAAAGAAGAAAATGCCTGGCAGATTATCAGGTACTCTCAACTTTTTAGATTAGATATAAGGAGGGAATTCTTTACTGTGAGGGTGTGGAGGCCCTGGCACAGAGMAGCTGTGGCTGCCYSTGGATCCCTGGCAGTGTCCAAGTTGAAGGTGTCCCTGCCCATGGCWGGGGGTTAGAACTGGATGATTAAGGTCCCTTCCAACCCAAASCARTCTGGGATTCTGTGATAATATTTAGTAAATCATAGATTAGATATTTTATTGAAATTATTTTACATAAACCTTTTTGATTCTTTTATGTATATAGAGGTCTTTTAAACCCAGAATAACAAGCACAGGTAAACATCTAACAAAGGTGTTTGATCACCATGGGGAACCCTCAGAGCACAGTGTCAGTCCTCTTCACTGTGCTTGAGCTTTCCTTTACTCTCCAGCATTTACACCTTCAGTGCCCACAAAAAGCAGTGTCTGAGGCCAGTCTCCCACAAATTCTAAAGACTAAAATTTTCCACCCTCCCCTTTTTCATCAATATAATTMTGACTCCTTAACGTACCAGGTTCATCTTGATGGTTCAAAGAATTTTTGGGTTACACTTTTCCAGGAGTAACCATAGTAACCTGGAGTAGCTCCAGGATAGTAACCTCAGAGTCAAGTGCATGATGTGAAGGCAAAGACAGGACATCACTCTTTGGGATAAACATGAGAGTCCTGCACAGTCTCCTGGGTTTTGGCATGGGTCTGTCAATGCACCTTCAGTTTCTGGTGTCAGATCTTTGATATCCAAATGGGGACTGTAGCATCCTAACCTCAGCCCTGTCAGTTATTTCCACTGACAAATAAAATGATCTCTATGGCTGCCTCTCACTCAGGACACAGTGCTCGTCCTGGCTCTCATAAGCTTTCTGTTTTTGGAACATCACATGCAGCTTTACAGAGAAACCAGTGAGAAGCWGGAGCAGGTCTTTCCATGTTGGTGCTGAGTCAATACCCTCCTGTGAAGACACCTCTGGCTCTCAGTACACACCAGGACACATTGATTTCTGGGGAATCAGGTCCTGACTCGAGAGGTCTGCAGGTGGATTGCTCCTCAGATGTTGTTTGCTGTTGGGAAATTATTTTTTAACCATTCTTGTTTGTAGTGTGGCTTCAAAAATATGATGCAGCTTTGAAGCTGACCCTGGAGTTGGGTTCACAGTGGTTTGAGGGCTGTCCTTCATTTCTTTGATGTCAAGAGGCTTTTTTTTTTTTTTTTGAAGTAGAAAAGATTAAACCTGACTGGCACTCTTATGGCTGTTTGTGCTCCAAACTGGTGTTAAAAGCAGCAACAGTCTCCCAAAGCTTTTTGAGAGGCTCTGGGGCAGAGACCCATCAGAGTCTGGAGTACAGAGATGAGCACGGGCAGAAATGGATCTGTTCACAACAGCTCCRAACAGGCTGCAGGCTCTGTCCTTGCCATTGTTAGTCACACAGCTGAAGGRCTCAGTGGGAAAGTTCTGTGGTTACTGCCTTCAGGAAAACCTGAAACACTCACTTCAGAGAGAAAGATGTGGAAAAACACTGCCTGTTACCTTCTCTGCATGTGTGTATGTGCTGTGTGTCCCTGAGAATAGAAGCTGAACTAATTTATCAGCTAATTGCTGAGCACTGGAATGTCACCTGCATGTGAATTCACATTGTGCCCTTGTTCATCTCKCATGTTTTGGGGTAACATTGGACATCAAATATATTCATATTTAACATTTTGATTCTGAGACTTTCTTCTTCATGAGCTGCCACATAGCCTTTTCCTGCATTCTGATCATGTGGAGGTAGCAGTTCTCAACAATGTCCAGAATTAGGCATTTTTTGGTACTTTCAAATCTCTTGATTGCCAGTTGTATGTAAAATTCAAGTTGAGAGCTCTGTGATATCATAGAMAATTTCCAGTGTAGAGTCCAGTATAGCTCTGAGGAAATAACCTGTAATTGGAGCTGATTATCTGCAAAGCCTGATTGAAACAGAGGCAAGCAGTGAAGTAAAATTCTCMAAGATTCCCCTCCTTAGAGGATGAACCAGAAGTGAAGAAATAGTAAAATGCCTGCACAGTGTCCATTGTGCTCAGCGATCCCCCCTAGTGCCGGCAAAGCTGATTAATTTGATTAAAATAAACTGGGCTTGCTGTGCCTGTGCTCTGTGAGCGTGCAGATGTCTCCCTGGGACAGCAGGCAGCTGACCTTTAGCTCATTGCCAGCTTGTTGGGAGCTGTGTGACAGGCTCCAGAGTGGGATTTACTCCGGGGAAATGAGGTTCTGCTCTTTACGTAGCAGCTTCTACGAAATGTTTGCTCTTCTAATGGATGCCTGGCCTGCTGTGGGGTGGGCAGGTAATTAAAACACCCTRCTCCAGGACAGGGAATGTTGGTGACAGCTGCTTGTCTGTGTTTTTAGCTCACCAAGGAAAGCTGCCTGTGGATGTGCCCTTTCCACCCACCCGTCCAACTCTACTTTGTTATCCGCAATCCCACCCGCTCACGTGACTTTGGTATATCCAAGATCAAGATTTGGAATTACAGCACCACAACTCCCAGTGTAAGTAGTCTTTTGTCAACTCTGTGTGTTTGCTCTGCCTTGCCTGGGGAAATTCAGGGGATCTTCTTTCTAGAAGCGTGAAATAAAAGTGGATACGATTTCCTGTAATAAAACAGGAGCTGGAGGTGTCCCTGTCTGCTGTGAAATTTGCTTTTGTYTTAATTGTAAGTGCTAACAATGTAGTGATAATGTTTTCATGGGCTCACTGAGCATTTGCTTTCCAAGCTATTAAAGATGGCTAAAGACCTAATAAAAGGCTTGCACGTTCTGTCATTAATCCTTTACTGGGGTGAGAAATAAAGATACAAAGGTAAGTGTGTCTCAATGTTCAGGACTTTGCGTTGTTTTATCACAATATAAATAAATATGTGTTTAAATACATCTTTCCTGCTGTCTGTAAATATAAACAGGCTGACTGTTGCTCAGTTTTGGGTTTGTCACTTTAATGAGAATCATAAAATGGTTTGGCTTGGAAGGACCTTAAAGACCATCCARTTCCAGCCCCCCTCCCTGGTCAGGGACAATTAAAAAGTCCACTACTGTGTGCTCATAATAAAACAAATAATCTACTGTTACAAGAGAGACATATCATGGCAGATGGCAGATGGTCTCTTGTCTGTGTGTTTGAATGTCACCAGGAAAATTATTCTTGTTTGTACACTGCAATGTTAAGAAAAAAAAAAATCCCAGGTACTGGATCAAAGAGGATTTGCTGTCCTGGATTATAAATAAGAGGCTTTATCCCTCTGGTTTTGCTCTCATCCATGTTCTTATATAAGCACATATGGTAATTTATACATACGGAAATGGCCATGGAAGGGACAGCTTAAAACAAATTTGCTACAACATGATTTATATTTATTTTCCTGGAATTTCAATAGCTTTTCTCGCTAAAACGGGGTCTACAGGATGTTCCATCATCATTAGAGTGTGTGAGAGGGACTGCTGTTCTTGGAGGTAATGGTATGATTTGTTAGCAAATCTGCTGAATATAATGCAGGAAGCACACAGAAATGTTTGTCTGTATTTCAAGGCTTCTTTAATAACCTGCTATGAGGCAATGTGTAAAATCCTTTGGGAATATAATCCTATGGATTTGGGTGGAAATGCAGCAGTTTACACTTGCTGCAGAAATATCTCATTATCCTTAAGATGAAAGAATCGTACAAAGCAGTTCTGCCTAATTCTGTAATTTGTCATGACGAAGTTTTGTCTGAGGAGTATAAATCCCCAAAATATAATTAACTAACAATTTTCTTCCTGCTAATGTAAATCCAGAGGCAGATTTTGGTAATCATTCTATCTCCCTTCTTTCCCTCAAAAAGCATGCAAAGTGAGAGATGTCCAAGTACTGCTTCCAGAAATAGGCCAAAAATTAAGTCAGGCCAGCACTTTTGTGTGTTTGAGTTTCAGAACTTGAGCCTGGAAGGAGAAAAAATGTGTCTGAAGGAAGCAGTAAAAGTCAGATGACATCATTGTCATAGATTCCTCGGTTCATTGAATTCCAAGGAAAGTCTCAGAGCATGTTTCATCTTGCCTTTATTTACTTCAAATGAGACGTGCAAAAAAGGAGGTCATTTTTAGTCAGCAGGGAGGGCACAAGTGTAACAGCAGTTCAAGGTTATCTGCAGCAGTCAGACATTTTGTAACAATTTGATACAGCCTTGGAATGGCATTGTTACTTGGTGCTATTAAAACTTTTTTCTCAGATCTAGTACAATGTCAGTTGTGTGTCTTCACAAAACTGGGAATGGAATCAACACTGAACTGCATTTATGCCTTAGTTGCTCTCCAGTTGAGTAATTTTTTTCTTTCTGTGTGTTTGTTCCTCCTGAGCATATGTTGCTGTCCRTTSTCTTGGGGTTTTTTTCAGTGCRGGATTACCCCTGGSTGCCTGGTCTGTAAGGATGCAGCACAATTCCAGCACCATTAGTTTTGTAGGAGAGTTTTCTTTGGTTCTTGACTTCTACTGCTTCTTTTTCACACTTCTTTGAAAAGTCAGGCAGATGCAATTTCAGGTCCTCTGTCCAGGAGGAATTCTCAGAAAAGTGCCTCTGGTTTTAAGCTCCATCYTTTGTGCACAAATATCACAGAAATGGCCAGAAATGCCATCCCAATTGTCTCCTTGGGAGGCACCATCCCAGCAGACACTGTGCTGGCTGGGRAGGAACATCAAAAGGAACCAGAATTACTTTCACAAAATCTTYCMTTTTTTAAAATTTTCTTTTTCTTTTCTGACACTGATCCTACCTACTTGCTTCTTCTAAGTCATTGTGCCCTTTTAATTTTTCTGCCAGGAGGTAAAAAGCCCTGCCTTGGCTGAAGTATGGAGTGCTTGTTTACAGGCTGGAATTACTCATGAGGAAGGGATTTTTCCAGCCTCCTCACGCTCGAGGAGAGCTGAGCAGTGCTACTGGGGAAGCTGAACTGTCAATCTTTTCCACCAGAACAGATCACTAAGCAACTGGAAACTCAGCAAAGGGGTGGGAGGGAGTGAAAAAAGAGCAGTTCTCAGGCTTGTGCCTGCATATGTGTTTGTTCTTGGAGTCTCTGGGATCTGTTCAGATTTTTCCTCCCTCCTGAGGCTCAGTCTGCTCAGGATTTTGGTGCAGAAGATTTTCATTAGCTCAGGATTTTGGTGCAGAAGATTTTCATTAGCTCTTTTGAGCTTTCAGCTGTTGCAATGCCAGCCCCAGTCTCTCTTTTCCTAGAAATACCTGGCTGTTCATCTTGGCACAGCTCAGACACCTCTTTTGCTTCCTGAAATACCGATCCCAGACATTCCCAAGCATCAGAGAACAGGAGGAAGTCTCCCACTGACTGGAATAGTAATTTTGAAGTGACTGGCCCTTTTTTGGGCTTGAGTGTCCCTTTTTCAGGRAGAACAAGCTCCACTGTCCCTTTYTGTAATGGAATTCTGCTGCTGGTGMCTGCAGTGGGATTCATTTAAAAAAAGAAGTTGTTCTTAAGGAGTAGCTGATTTTAGTTTAGAAAGATGACATTCACAAATACTTTTCAAATRCACATCTATATTTTTGTGGTCCCCTGCAGTTTGCATCTGTTTTCAGGTAAAAATGCAGAACTAAGGGCTGAGTATTTCTAACAGCTGTAGAGCTGGAATATTATGCAGAAATGTTCAAGTTATCCTAAATTCAACYATGAMTAKCCAATATTTCYAGCATCTAAGGAAGACATTGACAAYCCAGACATACAGAAATTTTAAAAATAGCATTATTGGGGCATTCTGGTAGTCTTCCCCATCCTAATTCCAGGCAAAGCCACGCAGGTAGCTTTCAATAGCTGTAATTACTGAAGTGTTTCGATCCCCAGTTAGATCAATCCAGCSTTGTCCTCGTTCAAGGGGAAGAAATATCCTGTTTTATGGCTGACTGCCTGAGCACAGAGATYCAGCTCTTTATGATCCTCCAGGAGCACAGGCAGCCATGCTATAATGGCCAATTAAACTGGTTTTACAGCTGTTCTCCAGGAACTTCCTGAAGGTTATCTTGTCCCATCAGGAATGTGGTCTGCATTCCTGCACCCACTTCCCTCCCTCACCTGGAGCTTTCTGGTCATGCCTGCACTGCATCTTCTGCTTTTCCCTCTGGGTAGCTCCATATTGCATTTTTTTTTTTTTTTTTTTTTTTTTTTTTTGCCTCATAGATGTTTTTATTGGGAAAGCAACAGGATGGAAGATGGGAAGACTTGTAAGCTTTGAACAGTGTGTTCAGGAGTGAAGAGCCAGAGACATTTGTTCTTGGAAGGGAAGGAGTGACTGGTTTAGTCTGGGAGCAGAGGAAAATTTACATCAGTGTTCAAGAGAACTGACATCCATGGGATGAGCAAGAGGGATGAAACTGAAACTTCTTCCTTTCACAAAAAGCTGCTTAGTTTTCACAAAAAGAAGGAAAAGAACAGAGAGTCTCTAAGAGAGCCCACRAGATGGACATGGTACTGAAAGTCAGAGAACAGAAAGGAGATGGATTGTGTCTCATCTCTATATTTTCTTTGAAGATAATGGTATTTTTGTCAAGAGGGAGAAAAGGCTATATCGGAATGGTGAAGAGAATAGAAAGAACATTAGTTCCAACTTCAATGGAATGAAAAAATCAGGTATTGGTGAGTGCCACAGAGAAGGAGAACATAGAGATAAAGTTGTGAGTGTCAGAATTGTGTCTGAGATAAAGGCCCTTATTTAAAAGGCTAGTTAAGTCTGGGAATAGGCTATCAGGGCAGATTAGTTGAAAACTGTTAAAATCAGATTTCTTCACAATGGTGTAGGTTGTTTTACATTCTTCAGTWGAAAGAAATGGACTGGATGATTTTTTTTCTGGCTATATTTTCTAGGTCTGCGTTTCTGTAACTCTTTGTAACTCTTTTTAACTCTGGARGCTTTGATCTGGGTGGTTGTTCACTGTGGAACAGGCTGTGAAAGTGGTAAATCTTAGAGATGCTGAAAGAAAATGTGCCTCTGGAATTTACATCCTGATCAAATATAATTACACTTAATCTAGGCTTTTTCCCTCAAGCTTTTCTAAATACAAACCTTGTCAGACAGACTGGTTCATAGCAATATCTAGCAAGGTTTTCAGTCCTTTTAAATAAAATTTTATATATTCCACAGTAGCTTTCATAGTTTCAGATTAAAAGTAGTCAAAAGCACGTTACTGACACAGGGTTTAATTGTTTTCATCTGTCCATTGATTAAGTGTTCAGATGTCAGAGTCCCAGAGCAGTGGTGTCTAATGCTTGAAAGCTTAACTGAAATCTTCACACTTTCATTTCTGTAGGACCTTGATGTTGGAGCAAAGAAGGTGAAGTTGTACGTGGATGAGAACCTCGTGTTTGATGGTGAATTAGGGAGAGCTTCTGGAGATCTCCTTGCTGACCACACCACCACAATTGACCTTACAGACCCCAAACAAAACCCCTCAGCACCTCCCTCAGCTGAGAGGGAAGAACTGAATGCATCTGCAGCCCCAGACAAGAAAGCAGAGCTACATTTTCAATGCTCAGARTCAAACAGTACCTCCCTGAACTGGAAAGCTCTGCCAGAAGAAAATCTTCCTGAGCTGAAGATGAACTCAATCAGCTTTACAAAGAAAAATTTGTCTCAGTTGGAGGATGATCTAAAACCATTCCCATCTCAAGTTTGTGTAAAAGATGCCAAAGAGGAGGCAGCRGTTCCAGAGCACGTTCAGTCTGATGATGAGCTCAGTCTGAGCGAGCAAATGGAGAAGTTGACAGGAAGGAAATTATCAGATTCTGCAGGTTCAGTTCCTTCCTGGCTGCAGTCATCCTCCCARGTGACACACAACAATCAGCCTACCCCCAGCAGGCAGAAGCCACCATGGCTTGCCACAGAACAGAGTTTAAACTCGAGATTTCAAACTCAGCCAGATGAAATCATGACAAACTTTTCAGAGCTGATAAATGAGGATGTCAAATGTCCGAGAAATGAACTGGGAGGACTCAGTAGTAGAAATGCAACTGGAGATGGGAGATCACAARTGTTATCCAGAAAGGATGCTGAGGTGGACTTGGACATTTTTGAGCAACTTTCTAACAAAAACTGTGGCAGTTTACAGTACCCTACGAGTGGAAGGAGGAGTGTCATGTGTGGTAAAAAGCTGGGGTTAAACACCATAAATGTGGGAGAAGATGATTCTGCTGTCAAAGGTAAGAGTCACAGCAACAACCTTAGTGCAAATGCTGATGTATTCTCCATTTTGCAGAAGCACAGACTCATTTTAGGTAGAAAGGCACCTCTTGAGATTCCTGGAGGTACAGACAGGGCAATTTTAGCTTTGCTATTTGTGGTATTTTCCTCATGAGAATACTCAGAGTCTCTCTCCTGGTCCTACACCTGATGTGAAATACTCTTCTGAAAAATTTACATTCTGATTTAGTGGGTTTTAATTTATTTGGAGCAGATGGAAGACTAAATTTCAGTCAATTATATTCTAAAAATTGACAGTCCTACAGACAGCAAATGTTTGCTWATATCAATTAAAATCTACAGAAAGATAAAGAAGATTTTATTGTCGAGGTAGTGAGTAAATTTGCAGAGTTTATTTGTGTAGTAGCTTTGTGTCTTTCTCAGTGAGAATGGAAGCTGAATTTATTTATTCAGCGTGAATGAAAAACTGCCCTTATTTTCCTTCTCAGCTCATATAACTTTGCAAAACCTCTCCCTCAGACACTTTGCTTATTTATGAAGAGTTTTCTAATAAATTTAGCTATTTATTTTATTACACTTTTCTGCTCTGTGCTGTTGGTTATCCCTGTCCTCCTGCTGGAGGTGGAGGATCCAGCTTTGAGTTGTGTTGTGCCTCTGGCAGTATCTAGCAGTGTCCCCAGGAAAAAACAGAACTGTGCAACCTCCCAAATTCCCCCTCTCTCCAACCTCTGGCAATCCATGGCTACAAAATTTTCAGGGCCTGAGATCGTATTTTTGTCTTTAACAACTGTAAATAACAGGAAAATAGAATTTCTTGCCCACAGGTTCTACTTTTTCTTTCTATTCACCAACTTTSCATTGCTCTGGATGTATTTTTGTCTTCCCTTTTCAGTTTCAAGCCATGTCACTCTGTCTGCTGTTTTTTGGACTCTTCCTACCCCTTCCTTGGCATTCTGTWGCTCTTCAGCATTCACTACCTTGTCTCAAATGAAGAATTTAATGGAGCAAGGACAACAAGACCCAGAGAACTGGAATAACGTGTTACAAAACCACAACTGAAATTTGGGGGTGATTTACCATCAGAATGATTTACATGAAAATGTACCTTGCTCTGTATTGAATTAGGGTGTTTACATTAAAGTGATGGTGATAAGGGACAGAAAATGTACCTAAAATGAAAGGATGCCAGATCAAATCCTACAGCAGGTACTGCAGGGATTTTTCAGACAAAGGTGAGGAAAATGGTTCTTTCTAAACTTAGAACGTCTGAATTTTTCCTTGTCTGACCCTCTGTGGAGAAAGCAGCAGTTTGARCAGTATCTCTGAAGTTTACCTCAAAGAAGAGAAGTTTGGAATGGGTGCCACCTGCCCTTCACCCACTGCAGCCCATGTGCTGTTCCACACTTTTTACAGTACCTGTTACATTAAATCCTTAACATTGTGAAAACTATATAAATCCCTCCTTGGGTGGTTTTGTCCAGTTGTAAAAATGGAAATAAATCAGGGATTTTAATGTAAACTATAAGATGAGGGTTATATATATAATATTTTTCTATACAATGCCCTCTAATTTTGCTCAGAGCAGGTTGWGCCCTGTGGTGCTCAAAGCTCCAATGTGTTTTTAGTCTCTGGGAAATTACAGCCATTCCAGCAGCTTTTGTTCTCTGTGTGTGTGCAGGGTAAAGCCATCCTCAAAGTGCAGCTGAGAGAGCTTTAACAACAGGGAAACCTTTCAAGAGTGCTGGATTTTAATTGGCCTGGGGCTGGRAGAAGGGCAGTTCCCAGTGGAGAGTGGGACAAAGGGAAGGCTCAGAGGCTCCTGTGGCTGTCCCAGCACGGCTTTGGTCACTGAATGGCTCRCAGGAACACCAGGAATTAGGAACAGCACGTACAGGCTTGGCTCGAGTTCATTTTGCTGTAAAAATATCCATTTTTCTTCGATAACCGGTTTAATGTGCGAAGGAAATGGCGGGAGTATGCTGATAAAAATTGCAAATCACATATAATTTGGTTTATTATGAGTTAAGGAGATTGAAGAACTGCACAGAACGATGAACCGGAGGGCTGGAGCAGTGGGATGCAATTCAGGAGAATGTTTGCAGGCTCACTTGGGGGCTAATAACCAAAAATTAAGTTGTAAGCTGAGTAATCATCAATGGCAAATGACCGAGGCAGAGAAGGATTGCAGTTGAGTAGCTGATAGCAGATTGAGTGAAATGCTGCTCTGAGCAGGGACTGGAGCACTGCACTCCCAGGATGGATCAGCACAGGCATTTTTGGGGTTCTTGGGAAACCTTCATATCCCAACACAGGCTCTTGTGAGACCTCAGTTGGAAAACTGCAGCTCTGCTCATCCATTTTCAGGAAAGCTGATTACTGAGTGGAACAGATACAGAGGAGAGCTTTTAGAATGATTTGGGAAATGAAGCATGTGATTGCAGCATGGAAATATGATTGCTGTTTCTAACTGCRGGGAGTAAAAAGAGAGATTAACACAACAGAGGGAGAAGAAAGGTGCTTTTTTTTCCTGTATAGTCTTGCCCCAAAATGTCATTCACTGAATTTGGAGAGGAATTTTGTGGAGTGTGTTGCCATCAGAAGTAGGACAAGGGAATTGGTGGCTCAAGACACCCCTGAACCCCCAGGGGAGTTGGATGTTTGAGATGTGGTTAATAAATAATACATTTTAGATTCTTAAAAGAATAAAAGCCAAACCCTGGAAGCCTTCAGCCACCAACCTCTGCTTTTGGGCCTTCTCTGCTTTCCTTTCAGAGCTTCCTCTCTCCTCAGTGTCACTCACAAACCTCTTAACTTCCCATTGCATTGCCCTAAAGGGGCTTCAGCATTGTAACYCCTGGGCTGTTGGAATTATTTAATGTGTAAAAAAATAAAGGAAAAGCTGTCCCAAACAAAGGTCAGTGGATGTCAAATCTGTCTTCTCATCATCCCAGAATTTTCAAGCTTTGACATTTTGAAGGGGTAAATTCATGTACAGTACCTTCTCCAGGTAAATTGGGAGGTTTTGGGATGTGTTCTTAGGGATCACTGAGCATCCTGAGCATCTGCCCTGACAGTGGTGTGAGCAAGAGAGCGACTTACAAATGTCTGATGTTCTCTGAAATACAAACTTTCACTCCATATCTGCATTTTCCTGGTGGGGTAAGGAGGAGTGGCCACGTTGGTCCCCAGCCTTTCATTCTAGAAGACAGMCCTTTTCCAGGTAGTTTCCCATCTGCTTTAAGATTCTTCATTTTATCTCACGTGTTCCCACTGTAAATGATTATTTGCYATAGATAGGTGTGGAACATTGCCTCTTTCCAGTATTTCCAGAAACACAGTTAAAAGTTAATTTTGAGCAGCCTTTTGGGTAAACATTATTTTGCATTTTACAGCAATTGGCATTTATTCTTGATAACCATTTGTTTTAGTATCCACCCAAGGACATTGTACAGAAGTAAAATCTGGCCCATGGGCCTGTAATTGTTTAGTACTCCACTTCCTTTTCTACATTTATTTCAAGAAAATACGTAAGTGACTGCTTTATTGAAAATCCTGGTTATTATCTGTTCTTAATTGTTTTGAGATGGAAATGAAGCAATTCCCCAGTGCAGCCACAAGAACATGCTTTGCTCCCACTGTGCCCCTCTGATTTGTTGTCCTCACTAATTCCCATTAGATACCTTGTCATTATCCTCTTTCTGCATCTCACACTTGCTGAAAAGTGGGGAAAATATTTGGATATTACCTGTATAGAATGCAATGCTCACCTCATTCTCCCTGTATGCTGAACCTACTCCTTTCCCCACCACTTTTCTTTATATGCCTATGGCTCATTTGGAGGGAAAGAACCAACTTTTCTCTGTAATGCTTCACATTAACCAGTCCAGCCACTTCCAGCTGTATGAAAGATCTGCAGAAATGCAGAGGGATGATTTAAACTCCCGTGACAGCCACACAATAAGGATCACTGGGAAAAAATCCCAATTTCTTTAAGGGCTGAGTCAAGGATTCACAACCTCAAACTTGGTTTGTATCATGGTATGAGCTCTGCTCCTCCATAGTTAAAAGTGATTTTGTTCATTATGTCTGACTGGGGAAGGGAAACTGGGACATGTGGCCTTGATAATAGGGAGGCAAAATCAAAGTGCTGCTATAAGAGAATTTCACAGTGAGGGACACAGGTATGACCAGCATCATTCTGAAAGTGCTGCAGTGCTTTGCTCCYAGTGCTGTTTGTACATTAAGTGCCTTTGTAATGTTATTTTCAGATGAAGACTTTCCCGTCAAGGACGTGGCAACCTCTAGAATGAAGTGGTGTAGTGAACAAGAACACACTCTGCAGGAGTCCTGGAACTCCTTGGTGAAATTTAATTACTCCCACCGTGGCCGCATCTCCAACATGGATTTTCAAGGGGATATCTTTGATGAGTTTCTGCATCAACAAAAAATCAACCGTCCYGGAGAGCATCAGAGAAAAGAGGGATCACAAGCACTGCCAAAGAGGCAKGAAGAAGAAAATTCTGTGGAGATACAGGATGGAAGCGATTTTAAAATCCCTGTTTTACCTTGTGGGCAGCACTTGGTGATAGACATCCGCACCACGTGGGGAGACAGACATTACGTTGGTCTGAATGGCATTGAAGTGTTCAGCTCCAAGGGAGAGCCTGTGCACATTGCAAAAATAACAGCTGAACCCCCTGATATAAATATTCTACCAGCTTATGGCAACGATCCCAGGGTAGTAACCAACCTGATCGATGGGGTGAATCGCACCCAGGATGACATGCACCTCTGGCTGGCACCCTTCACCCCTGGGAAACCTCACTTTGTCTTCCTGGACTTTGTGAGTTCCTGTCAGGTAGCCATGATTAGGATTTGGAATTACAATAAATCCCGCATCCACTCCTTCCGAGGTGTGAAAGACATCATCATGCTGTTGGATGAGCAGTGCATCTTTARAGGAGAGATTGCCAAAGCCTCGGGAACCTTGTCTGGAGGTAGGCTRGCATTTCTTATTTTCCCTGTGGAAGCAGCAGCACAATACAAGCAAAATACATTTAGCTTGTTTGTTATCACTTTCCACTTCAAAGCAAGCTGGCTCTGTGGCTGGGATTTCATTTAAAAACATAATGCAAAGCCCATTAATGCATTCTTCACTGATACTGGGGATTTTAGCAGCATTCAGAGCTAATCTCCATTTTTAACTATGTCTTAGCAACAAGTCTGTGTTTCTATCACATCAGATATGCACTAGAAATTTCAAAGTTGCAGCTTTTTTTCTTGTTTTCAYGTACGTAGTCTTTTGGAAAAGGTGRCTGGGAAGCTTTTTTCCCATTTTCTTTTCTCTGGATTTGAAATCTGACTGAATTCTCTAGGTTTTTCTGTGCAATGTAGGTTTGAGAGTGAAACACTCATTATAGCAGTAGTCAGTATCAATTTGCCATTCATTATCTTTAAACACTGCTGCAAAATTAAGTGCAAAGGAGGCCCATAAATAAGTTTTATCTTTCCATGTATTCTTTTTGCATTATTTCTCCATTTAATTCTGTGTGTTGCCTCCAGCTCCAGAACACTTTGGGGATACCATACTGTTCACTACTGACGATGATATCCTTGAAGCCATTTACTGCTAYGATGAGACCTATGATGGAGAAATGGGAGATTCCAGCTGCCTGAGATACGAGGAAGAGCTGAAGAGACCAACAACTGCTGACAGGGAGGGAGATGAGAGACCTTTTACACAGGCAGGGCTGAGAACAGAGGGTCAACAGGTAGGGGGCTGTGTGTTCAGAACTCTCTGTAAATGTCTCTGAAAAGGGAAGGAATAGACACATTTCTAGGCTGGACTCAAACTGCAGGAGAATTTACACAATACTACTATTTTGAAGGCTTTTTTTTCACCTGTTCAATAATTCATGTTATTTTTTTTTAAGCCCTAGAGGTCTTCAAATTCTGGAGTCCCTGAATAATTATTAAACATATAAGGAAATATGTTATAATCTATACTAGATTTGTTTCTTTTTTACCTACTTGGACAGAGACCAGAGGGAGTTCTTTTTGATTTGGGTTCTCCTGAAGGTTTCTGCACTGTCACTGATTTTTCCCATACAGTTACTCATATCATGAGTAGCTGTGCTTCCTCTCACTCCAAACCAAAGATTTTCCCATATTTTCCATATAGCTGGTATCTTCCTCCACAAATTAAATATTAATTAAATGGGAGGATTCTSTTTCTCTCAGCCCTTTCTTTATTTTTCCTCTCTTTTCTTTGACTAGCATCATCACAGGTTTGTGTGCATTTTGCAGCGTAAAAATATCTCCTTTCTATTCCACGCAGAAGGTATTTCATTCCTTGGAGGAAGGCTGTGCTTTCAAGCACTGAGGTCTTGCCTTTGGCCATTCCAGCCCAACAGCCCAGTGTCTGAGCAAAGATCCTGCAAAATTGTTTTGAAATGGTTGTGGGGCAGTTTTTGATCTATTTTTCTTAAAATTTTCTATAAAAAWTCTGTATTTTCTCAGAATCTTCAAGAACCCCCAGTGTGGCATCAGTGAGGTTSTGTTTTTCTAGGTTCACACTCCACTCGTGAGTCTGTCAGGAGATCCAAAGCTGAATCAATCCAAATTCCAGCTGCCCCAGCCAAAGTGCTCCCAGGGATCTATGGTTCATAATGAGCCTTGTGTGGCTGCCAAACCTTCCCTGTCTTATCCTCTTTCTTATCCTCTTTTTCTTGTGGCTCACAAGACAAAAGGAAATCCAATGACCTTGGAATTTGAGCTCACTGTTAAAATCAAAAGTCAGTGTCTCTAACCATGGACTTCTCCAGGAATTTTGGTCCCATCTTCGCTTGCAGTATCAGTTCAGAGCCTTGTGCAGTGCAGGATTTCATGAACACAAATCGAAGTTCACCTTTCTTTTCCTGATCACGTGTTTATTGTTGCATTCCCCAGGACCTCTCCCTGGCAGAAGCCTGGCCCTGGGCTGCCTGGTCCTTGCTCAGACACAGGCTCTGCYTTTCATTTTGCTGTTTGGCTCTGGTGCCCTTCCCACCCCTGCTCTGCCTCTGAAATTGCTGCATCAGCAGTGGAATAACAAAAGCTGTTGTGACWGAGCCATTGATCTCCTTGTCATTGTGTATTTGCTGGTACCATCAGGATTCCTGTGAGGGGGATGTTTATGCTTCCAGAATGATACAGATCTGCTGGACAATTTGTCTTCCCCATCCTAAGGTTGTCAGACCAGTATTGACCAGTTTGGACAGTCCCTGCTGTTGATCATTCACCTTTATTCCCTGTTGCACATTCAGTAGATGAAATGGTGTTTTACCAAAAGCTCTTGCAGAAGTGTCTCCCTTTCCTGTCAGGATGATCCATGGCCATCTGTCTGTCCATGAATTCAGTAATCCTGAACGTGCTGACTTTTATGGCAGATCAGACCTGGAACTGCTGCACTGGATTCAATCCTGTGCCCAGTAGTGGGTGCTTAGGGAGAAGGAAAAAACAGCACAAACACAGAGTGGTGTTTCACTGAAACACTCATCCAGCTCTCAGAAATGTGTCTCACAAGGACGTTTTCACTTAACCTTTGTGTTTCAATCATATCAGAGAGGTACTAGAAATTTCAAAGTTGCAGTTATTTGCTTGTTTTCACGTATGTGTCTTTTGGAAAAGGTGATTGGGGAGCTTTTTTCCCATTTTCTTTTCTCTGAATTTGAAATCGGACCAAATTCTCTAGGCTAGACTGAATTCTCTCTCTCTGAATTCTCTAGATTTGTGTTTAATATCCTGCCATAAGTTTTTATTGCATTAATTCATCCASCAGGTTTTGAACCCCTGTGCACATATACAATTTACAGTTCTCTGTTTCCCAGCTGAACCTGCACAGCACAAATAACTCCTCCTGTTTGTTGCTGGGTTCATTTAATGCCCTCTAAGTTTTGTATTGGGAGAAACAAAACAATTATTCCCCACTCCCTTCTTCAAGCCCCTGTGTTTGTCTTCTAAATCCCTCTTTTCCAGAATGATTGGTGCTGCTTTAGTTWTTCCTTGCAGGGAAGGTRCTGATCAGTACAGTCARGTGTAGGACCATGGWAATACTTCCTATGTTTTATTGCTTTGCCAATATTTCCTGGACTATGGTGGTGTTTTGTTTTAGCCATAAGAATCTAAGAGCACAGGTAGGACAATGCCCACTAGCACAAGTAGTTAAAATAGTAGGAAATTGGTCTAAAATATCTGAAAAAGAGATGATGGAGCACCAGTGGAATGAAGGGGTTATGGGCTACAAGGGAGGGCATTATTTAACAGTCTATAAACCCAGTAACCTTTATTGTGTCCATGGGTTTAAATTATCAGTAAAGTTGCAAATTTTAATTCCCAGGCTGGTCTTTTAGAATTGTTCTGGGGAAGAGGCATCAGACATCAGGGTTGCTGCTTAGTGAGAGAGGTAACCCCAATGGAAGGGGTTTATTTCAGTGCCCACTTCCTATTCAGCCTCACCTGAATTACCTTAATTCCCACAGGGACATTTGCTGCCATGAGAAGGATGTTGCAGTCTGGGAACACATGAGATCCTGGGGATCAGTGGTTAAGCTGCAGGGATCTAATGGAGCAGTAGGAGAGAAGTGTTGCCCAGTCTTTGTTTATTTATTTTAGGCACAGTGTAGATCCACTTGATGTATTGTGGATGACAGGAAGTTTATTTCTAATGATGAATTAAAGAGAAGGAGTCTGGACTTCTAATTTCCTGTTTGGCCTTTTGACTACTAATGAGGATTGAGCTGATGTTTTTATAGAGCTGCTTATAAAAATGCCAAGATCTCATTCTAATCTGCTATTATTTATTTTGGAGTCCAATGCTGGTGTATGTGAAGTTAGAATTGTTTTCCCCATGTGGTGCATTTTTCCATTTGCCCACAGTGAACAGAATTAGCCATTTTATCACACTTTCTCAGTGAAGTGAACACTCTCTGCAATGCTTTGCCATTTTTGTCTTTACTACCCTGATTGCCCCAGTGTGATCAGCAGATTTTGTCATCTGTTTCTTTGCTTTTCTGAATAGCATAGGCAATTTTTAATTAGCATTGCCAGAGCACAAGCACAAGCTTTTGGGCAAGTTTGCTTGTTTGTTCTGCCTCTTAATTCTTGAGAAGAAATCGTGGTGGCACTCTCTGGTCTTGACTTCCTTCCAGACTTCTTGTCTCTGCAACAGATTTGCAACATACTGCAAATCCAGCATATTATGGTTTGCTGATGGCAGCCTGCAGGGAAATAAGTGTGATTTGAGAATTCCAGCCTCTTTGAGGCAGCTCACACTATGGAGTCTCCCATTTTATATTTCTAGATGCATGAAGCATCTAGACCCCAATAATCTTAACTTTTAAAGGATCTACCTGACCTTCTACATTTTTGGGTCACATTTTCCATTAGTCACAGCACAGCCCAGGTGGGGAGGGCAGATTGATAAACAAAAAGAAACAGACACAAAAATCACACTTTGTGAACAATCAATGTAAATTTAATTTTATACCTGTTGACTTCCTTTTTAGGTTCAAGAGCCAGACTCTGTTTCTGAATGTATGCCAAAGGAAACAGGAATATTTACTGGCAAATGTAAGTTATTCCATTTGTTTTTTGCTTAACCACCCTTCCCCCAATCATGTTATCAAGGAGSATCTGATTTGTCAGAGCTGCACAGAACTTTGTGACAGATGCCAGGTCTAGAATAAAGAGCAGTAATTGAATATTTAAGGCAGAAGCTTTGTTTGCTATGGCATTTACAACATTATATTGCAACAGTTGGCTTTTAATCTCAGAAAAACAACATTAGCCATTTGCCTAGTCCCTGAATGGGATTTCTAATAGCTGTGTCCCTTACCCAGTAATTCTCTMCCAATCCTTTGTGTTTATGTAGACTGACTGAATTTTTCAGATTGGATTGACAATAGAAACCCATCAGTAAAGCTAGATCAGAGTGTTACATCCCTGCTTAAAGTACCTGATTTATTATCCTGTACAAAACCAGCTCCCTGTGGGCCTTTCAGCTGTTGTCCACATAATTTCTGCATGGCCCAAAAGCTTCAGGAACAGCTCCTGGTCCTTTGACAAGAATTTCCARCAGGGTTTTAGGAAATCTTTTTCACCCTGAGAGCGATCCAGCTCTGGATTGAGAGGGTTTGGAATGTGCCAGGATAAACTTCCACTGCATTAACTCCTGAGAGCTGATCTTGGAGCTGGATTGGGCACCTCCAGAGGTCCCTTCCCCTGTGACATCCTCAGACTCCATGAAGGAACACGAAACTATGGGATGGGGAACACTAAATCTGTGGGGGTGGCTGYTTCACTCCAGCTTTGCACTGGAGAACAGACTGGGATTTCTCCTGAATAGTCTGGGATTTCTCCTGAACAGACTGGGAGMTCTCCTGAGAGCTCCTGCAGGCTTGAGCAGGTTTGGGTTTAGCAGAGGGTTTGGGGATTGTGTCTCCTGCCAGTGTAGCCACAGCTCCCCACTTGTCAGCTGACAGAACTATTTATTTCCTCATGTCTCTGCAAGTGCTAATGAGCTCTTACACCCAAGTGAATTTATGGGTGTATCAAGAACTTCTCTGGSTTTTTAGGGGTAATTGGGCTGCCTGGCTTAATAAGTTGAATGCTTGTTTGTTTTGCAAACATCATGCTTGCTGGTGCTTCTTTAGATACCACCCAAACTGGTTATTTGTGGCTTTTTGTAGAGTGTGAAATGAAAGATATTTTTAATTGACAGGGATGGATTTTTATGGAAGCTGATCATATTGGAATGTTACTTTTTATATCTGTATATGCTATTTCTATTTTTTCAGTAAGGTGGAACTAAAGATACACATTCAGSCTTTTGTCTGTCCAGCTTTTCTTTCCTGTTTATTTTCTGAAGATGCAGCCTGATCAACATTGCTGCTTTTCACTGATGCTATCCCATGAAAATCCTTCCAGTGTGCCCACTTCTGATGTGAAGAAAATAACTTAAAAACATTACTAAACCAATTTTTTCTTTGCTTTAACTGCGAGTGGGTGTTCTCTAAAAATGTAAGCTTTCTCAGTGGCTGGATTTATATAAATCCATGCAGTCACTTAGCTGCTAAAAGATGATGGATAGACTTCAGACTAATGGGTCTTCTCTGCGTCTGCATAATCACAAAATCTGTCATGTAACTGCTTAAATGTGTCACTGGCTGCCTGTCAGCCTGCAGTCCCAGTAATGAGACACTTGGGAACGTGCTTGATCAGCACTTGTGTAATTTCAGGTGAACAAGGTGTTGGTGGCACATTAAAGGGCTCTGACACAGATTAAAGGAAACTGCTGTTGCATGGAGGGGGGCACATTGACCAGGAAATATCCAATTCCTGCATATAAAGTTGTTTTATCTATACAAAATCTATTATATCTATACATGCATGTTCATATAGGCTCCTTACTTCAAATTAATAAGTATATAGAGACATTAAATGTATATTCTTTTATATAGGCCTGCAGCTGAACTTCACCATGACCTGGGGAGACTCTCATTACCTGGGACTGACAGGASTTGAAGTGATAGGGAAGGATGGCCAAGCATTAAAAATAAATGCAGAACAGATTTCTGCTTCACCCCAAGACTTAAATGATCTCCCTGAGTACACAGGAGACTCCAGAACGTTAGAAAAGTGAGTAACCAAAGGCTTGSATATATTTTTCATCAGATTTTCCATAAAGTGACAGATTTCTATAAGWTTCTGTTATGTTAACACATGTTAATGTGGACATGATTTTCATCCCATCACTGCTCATTCTTGGAATTCACAAGCTGTCCAGGAACAGCTTGTTGTAGAAACATGAATGAGATGTTTCCAAAAGATGGTGTTTGAGTTGGGAGATGAGAACATGCCTGCTTGGTATTTCTGCCAAGGACTTTCCAGGAAGAAATGTGGGTGTTCTGGAGCATCTGTCTGTGCATATTGAGTGATATTTATGCAGGATTTCTGGATAACTTCAAGGAAAATTTTCAAGTTAGCGAAGACTGAGGATGTGTTGGGGAATTGCACAAAGAGGTGCCATTCTTTTGGCAATTTTGCAGTTGTTTTTTTTTTTTTCTTTTTTTTTGCAATTCTAATGAAGTTTTATTCATTGACAAGTGTATTTCCTCAAATTAGCTTGTGCATCCTAAATGGCAGCAGTATGGAAATTATAGGCTGTAGATCTGGAGAGGACTTGGCATTTGGGTGTTATTGAAGCTGCATCCTGTTGTTTCTGAGTCATCTCTCCAGTTTAAAGGGTATTTTTGGTTGGAATCCTGTCTGCTGGCATGTTTATGGGCTGTACCCTGGTTTATGAATTAGGATTTGTCTTTTCAAAGTCTCTGCAGTGTCTTCCTTGGAATGCTGTGTTTATMTGCATGCACACCAATCTGTAATTCCTGCTGATCTGAATAATGCAGCCATCAAGCTTTACTTGTGTGCAATTCCTTGTTCTTTCTGCCATCTTGTCTGAAAATCTCTTCTGTAGGCACTGAGATCTAAGAGATCTCCCCATGACATCCCCTGGGATGAAAAGATTCTGGTGGGGGAATCTCTCCAGGGCCCCCCTGATGGACCCAGATGCAAAKAATTCCTTTACCTTTTCTTTTTCTTCTCCTCTCTGAATGTTCCTAGTGATATGTTGATCCTACAGAATTTCTGGCAAGCTTTCTGCCCCTGATGGATTTGAGGGATTTTATTTATTGTATCTTTTGCTTGCTAGCCTTCAGACTCTTTTTTTTTGGCCTGTGCATACGCATTTAACCTTCCAGAGTTTATGAGTCTATCAATTTAGGGCTTTTTTGATCATGAATTTTGCTGAAAGATAGCTCATAATAACTTTGTTTATCCTGCTGCTGAGCCTRGCTGGCTTTGAGTTTTCAAATCCTCCTTCTTTCTAACATCTTTCTTAGGAAGTGGGTTATATTTTTAATTTTATCTCTGCATTTTTGATTATTTTGCTGAAGAACTTTTCTGGAAAAAAGAAATAGAGGCTTTTTGGGCTTTGGATATTCCTGCAAGCAGGTTGAATTTGAGTACACTACAGTGCTCTCAACCGTGGCATTTGGAATAGGTGTACTATTCAAGACCAAATCACGAATTATGTCTTCTCTCATGGACTCCCTAATCAGTTCCTCTGTGAAAGACCCATTATTCAAATCTTTTTCTTGAAGGAATTGCCAAGTCTGGCACTCATTCTTCCATTAAAATTTAAATAAATAGTAAGTATAAACTTACTTTTTTTTTGGCAGCACACCAAAGTAATTACAGTGGAAAATTAATTCATATTCTCCTTTACTCCATCTTTGTATGCCATAGTTTGTGGTAGAATAATGTCAGGAAATACCAGATTTAACTTTATCCAGTCAGCCTGAAGCCTGTGCTGTTGGGAAATGCCATTGTCCCCCTGCTTGGAAGTCTTTTACAATAGTGGGGATGTGCCTAATTGTGCCCATGAAGGATGTGAGCAGAGCCTGGTGCTGCTCAGGGTTATCCAGCTGCCATCCAGCTCCTCCTTGGAGCAGCAGAGTTGTGTTGGCATAGAAACACCCTGCAGGGTGCCAGCGATGCAGGGCTGGGCACAGAACTGTAATAATTCATAAATTATATTGTGTCTGAGCTGAGTTTTGCCTTCAGACACTTTGCTACAAAGRCAGTTGAGCTTTGCTCTGCCTGTCCCTATTCCCACAGGGAAAACAGAAGGATTTTGCTGTTTTTCCTCAAGCAGACCCAACTAGAGAAAATACTGATTTTTCTCCCYCTGTTGTCCTTAGTTCAATGCTTGCATGCTATTTTTGATGTTTACTGTGCTTTTTAATTGCAGGCACAAGGGCACAAGAAGCCCTGGAAGCTGGAAGTGGCATCTAAAATCAAATGAACCCYAGCAAAGTCCCTGCTTTTCATGAGAGAAGGCAGCTTTTCCCTTTGTGCACTAATGGACTTTTCTCTTTGCAGGTTAATAGATGGCACTAATATCACAGTGGAGGATGACCATATGTGGCTCATTCCCTTCTCTTTTGGAGAAGATCATCTGCTCACAATCCATTTTGATAAAATGGAAAGCGTTGCAGGGCTTCGCTTTTGGAACTACAATAAATCTCCAGAGGATACCTACAGAGGGGTAAGTAAAAGAAAAGGAGCACTGCCAGCAAAAATATACAGCAGTGCATTGGGAAATTGGTGCTGTGATGAATGAATATAGCTGCCTTAATGGAACACCATAAATCTTTCTGGATTGTCTGAGTCTGAATTTTGTGGCAGGTATAATGCATTCCTGTCTTCACAAACAGCAGATATTAAAAAAAAAAAAATAAAAAAGGCAGAGATGGTTTAAAGAAATCTTCACAGCTGATTTTTCTAAGAGACACATACAGTAGCACATATTATTTTCAGGATATATGATTCTGGAGTGGTATCCTCTCAATATCTTGTATTTACAGCTACCATATGATTCTGTATTTCCTGGAAGACAGGGAATGATATGAGGGAAACTTTGCCAAAGAAATGCTGTTTAGTTGAGGTTCAGAAGGCCACTCACTCAATATTGTCTKTTCCAGGAAGAGTCTTTTGAAATTGTAACATTTAGGGAAAATTGTCCCCTTTGAGCAGTTTATAATTTAGCTACAATTGTAGAACATAACTCCTCTCTTATTTTTGCACATTGCCTGGTTTATATTTTTTTAATACTGAATTACTGGAATTGACAATTGACACCTGTTGGAGATCATTTTATACCTTCTCACTCTGAGTTTGGCTCCTTTCCCTGCTCTACTTACACTTRTAGTGATAATGAACCAGAGGTTGCTGTTCATATTGCACAGAAAGTTTAGGAATCCACTTGTTCCAGCTTTTCTGCCCCAAAATGCAACTGTTGCATTCTTGATGTCAAAATTCAGTCAATAAATAAGAATAAAAATGTTGGCATGTGTTAAAACTGGAGAGAGACAGGACAAAAAGGATCAGCCAAGTTCTGGAAAAAATTCTGGAACTGAAATTGGAGGTCTGGATCCTCCATGGGATYGGGCAAGGGAATGGCAAAGTTGCCCAACTGTGTCTTTGTGTCAATTTACCTTCCAAAAATTGCTGTAATATGAACACTGCCTGGCATCTTTCAGTATCAGCATGGGGCYTGGTGGTGCCAAAGACTTCCAGAGGGCCAGAGCATAAGATCTYCCAATTAAACCACAGCTGATGAGGAGATTTTAACATATGGCCCCTGATTCTTGTGCTCCATTGCATTGGCCCAACAGGTTTGGCACACGGGAGGGTTCTGGAACATTTTGAGCATTACCATCTTAAAATATCCCCTGAATAAATGAGAGCTTTTAGTGACATTTGTGTCCTGATTTCAGCTGGGATAGAGTTAATTTTCTTCCCAGGTGCTCGTATAGTGCTGTGTTTTGCATTTAGGGTGAGAATAATGTTGATAACTTACTGATGTTCTAATTGTTGCTGAGCAGTGCTTCCTAAAGTCTCTAAAATCTAATGTGGAATTTGCTCTTTGGAGGCCAAACCAAGGAAAAAGGAAGAAATGTATATTTTCAGCAGTTTACTTGGCTAGGTAGGAAAAAGCAGTGAGTCTGATACAGGTGTCCACCTGCAGGAATACTCAAAGTSCCACAAGAGTTAGTGAAAAGGAGGAGCCCATTCCTGCAGTAGAAGGGTAAAATAAATTATTCAGAAAACAAAAGCTGCAAGGTCTGCTGGGCCACAGGAAAGGGSGTTTAGGCTGTAAACCCAGGGCATCCTGACATGTGTCATGAAGTATTGCTGCTCCTT